AAGTTCGAAATTATTACTTTAAAAATGTTTACTTTTTAAATGTTTAAATGTTTTACAATTATTTTTTTATAATAATAATTATTATTTTATATTACAATTAAATGGAACTAATCGGGGCAAAATATTTGCAAAAAGTAAAATAGAAGTGTTTTCATGTGTTGTGATAGTTATGGCATTAGCCCTTTCTATTAACTATAAAGTGAGAGTGAAACAAAAATTGTATGTGCTCTAAACACATCCCTGCAACAAGAGACAAAACACTAGCTTTATTACTCAATCTGACAGAGAGGAGAACTATTAGGATCAATACTCTGTTTACTCTGTAGGCCTACCTGGATCTCTGGGCAGAGCAGGATGTGGGCCACAAAGGATCTCACATTGCGAGTCTTGTTATTTTTACTGAAAAAAACTCGAGGCATGATTATCCCCTTTCATCTTGGTTTTGATTTTGTGGAGCTGGAGGAAAGAGAATAACAAGAGAGTTTTCAGTAGTGGGATTAATAGACCTTCTGCATTTAATTGTAGAATGAGGATACAATTGTACATAAGCGTTTTTAGTATGGAGCACCTTATCTGAATGCTTTTTAGGCCCTTATCCAACAAGGTACTTAAGCACATGTGCAACTGGAAGCATAGGTTTTAGTATTTTATTGTCTCAGGGCATAAAACCTTAAAGATTATCTGTCAAGGAAGAAAAACAATTAGCATATTTTCCCTCTTTCCTTATAATAATGCACAAAAGGCCTAAAAAATTTACAGGGATGTCATCTCATGTGTTCTCTGGCTTTATTACAAGATTGGCTAGAGGTCTCATAGCAGACTGTGAGCATTCTCAGATCCCGAGGCCTTGAATGTAGTATGTTTATCAAACATATGTTCTCTTTCAACAGTTTAGTTATTTGACTTAAACAGTTATTAATAAACAAAGAAATATTAACTGTTGGTGAGGATCGCCATCGTTCAGTGTCATGAAGTGGTTTACCTCTCTGACACTGGCTGCAGATACTCTCTGGGTGCGTCTACACTGGCATGATTCTGACACTGGCCACAAGTATTTGCTGAAGAACACTGACTTTGTAATGTACAAAATCAGTGGTTCTTGTGCAAATACTCTGACGCTCCTGCTCAGGGATAAGCCATTTTGGGCAAGTATTCTTGCGCAAGAGGGCCAGTGTAGACAGCCACGTTAATTTATTGTGCAAGAAAGCCCGATGGCTAAAATGGCCATCGGAGCTTTCTTGCACAAGAGAGCATCTACACTGGCACGGATACTTTTGCACAAAAGCAAATCTTTTGTGCAAAGGCACATGCCAGTATAGACGATCTCTTGTACAAATACTTTTAATGGAAACATTTTTCCGTTAAAAGTATTTGCGCAAAATCATGCCAGTCTAGACGCAGCCTCTGTGTCTCTGTTGGTCATTTAGTTGAGCCTCTGGCTAAACTGTTCAAGAGTAACAAAAATCCAAGCGAAGCAGTCCTTTGCTTTCCTCCAAGCACCATTCCTGCCTAATGCCCCGTGCAGCGCTCTCCTAATGACAGCTGGGTGTGCAAAATTATTTTTTCTTTGATTGGAGAGATCCAAAATAAGCAATATTCAGCCATCTGATTGACTGTTCTGTCTCCAGACTCTTGGCCACAATTATGACTAGCTCCCACCCTCTCTTGTACAGAAGTTCCCATCCCAGGAACTACAAGCAAGCTGATACTCACTTTGAGCAAGCTTTGTTTAGTGCCCAGTGTTGCACCCTTCTCATGCTTTTGCAGCCTGTCTCTAGGCCTCCTCCCTTGCCCCTTTCCAGACTTCCTCCTACAACTACTGGGTTTTCTTTGCAGGCCCTGCATAGCCTCAGTCATCCACTTACTGGAAATGCCAATCAGCAGCTACTGTCTTCTCAGATCTCCGTTCTTTCAGGTCTGTATTAAAAGGCAGCTAAAATGGCTTTACATGTTTTTTCTTATTTTTCTACACTAGGAAATGCTATAGTTGCAAAATTATTGTGCAATCACCTAAATGGTCTGTGGCATCTGAGATTTTGAAGCCAGAATAGAACTTCCCTGAGTTAATGACTTTTTCAAGGCCCACAGCTGTGGTTGAATGAGCACATTTATTATGAATATTCTGTTCCCTATGGACAGGGCCATCCCTAGGGAAGTGCAGGGCTTGGGACAAATCCCCCAAACACCTACCCTATATCTTTCAGCCCCTGCTCCATTCTTGTCCAGTCTCTTTCTGGCTTCTGCTCCCCCCCCTCCCTGAGTGATGCTGGGAGCTGGTGGGGGCGGGGTGGGCAGGAGCTGGGTTATTTGTTGCTAGGGCCTGGACCATCACTATCCCTCCAGGCCTCCCTGTTCCCCATGTCCTAGTGAAGCATAGGGCTCCTCAAAGCACAGGGCCCACCGCAGTTGACCGGTCTAACCTATGGGTGGGATAGCTCTGCCTGTGTAGGTTCTTAGTAACTATGATCAAATCATCTTTTAATCCTTCTAAGTAGACCAGGGTCTGTCTACACTACACTTATGTAGGTAAAACTTATGTTGCTCCGTGGTGTGAAAAATCTCTGTCTGAGCAATGTAAGTTTGGCCTACATAAGCAATAGTGTGGACAGAGCTATGCTGATGGGAGAGCTTCTCCTGCTGACATAGCTACGGCTGCTTATTGGGGTGCTTTAATTTTGGTGATGGGAGAGCTCTCTCCAGGAGAATAGAGCACTGCATGAGAGATCTTACAGCGGCACCTCTGCTTCAGTACAAATGATACAGCGGCACAGTCACATAACTGCAGCTGTAATGCTTCAGCATAGACACTCACTACAATGGTGGGAGGATTCTCCCATTGCTGTAATTAATCCAGCTCTCTGAGAGGCGGTAGCATGGTTGAAGGAAGCCTTCTGTCATGAACCCAGTGCTTTCTACACTGGAGGTGAGCTCAGCATAGATGTGTCTCTCACGTTATGTCTACACTACAGAGTTTTTCCGGAAAAACTACACTTACGTCCGCACTGAAATTGCATTCTTTCCGACAGCAGTAAACCTTTTTCTATGAGGAAGAAGCCTTTTTCTGAAAGAGCTCTTTCAGGAAAAAAAGGTGTATGTGGACGGGAAAGAGGGTTTTTTTTTTCCGAAAAAGAGGAAAGGAAAAAGCACAGGTGCATTGGTGGCCACTCTGTCCATAGTAATCACAGCTTAAATGTGTGATAGCATCCATTCAGTGTGGACGCTATCTTTTGAAAAAGCAGATCACTTTTTCGATGCATTTTGGTTGAGTGGACGCTATCTTTCCGAAGAAGTTTTTTTGGAAGATCTCGTCCGGAAAAGCTTCTTCAGAAGGAAGCCTGCAGTCTAGATGTAGCTTCAGGGATATGGAGATGTAGCGATGATTATGTAAGTTTTAAAAGCAGACTGGCTCTTAGGCATATTTTTCAATCCTTCAATAATTTTTGTGGCTCTTCTTTGATTCCTTTTTCCAATTTATCAGCATCAGTCTTGAGTTGTGGACACCAGAAATTAATGCATTTGTAGAGTATTCTAGAAACGATCCCACCAGTGCCAAATATGGAGGCAGAGTAACATCCCACCTTAGTATTTGATATATTCCTGTTTTATTTTCACAAGGACTTCATAGTCATTTCAGCCACAGCATTTCACTGGAAAGTTATGTCCAGCTGATTATCCACCACGGCCTCCAACATGTTTTCAGAGTCACCATTTCCCAGGAAAGAGTCTCCTATCGTGTAAGTAAGACCCTTGTTCTATGTTCGTAAATAACCTTATATTTGGCTGCACTGAAATGCATATTTGCTTGCCAGGAGATCCAGATTGCTCTGTATTAGTAATTTGCCCTCTTCATTTACTACTCCTCTCAGTCTTTGTGTCATCTGCAAATTTATCAGTAATGATTTTGGTTTTTTCAGGTCACTGATTAAAATATTAAATAGCATTGAGCCAGAACTAATCCCAGTGCCATCCCACTAGAACTTCCTCCCAGTGATTCCCCATTCACAATTACATTTTGAAACCTGTCAGATGCTTTTTTCCACCTAATGTATGCCATGTTGATTTTTGCATTGTTCTGCTTTCCAAATGAAATTGTCATATGGTATCAAGTCAAATACCTTAAGAAGTCTAAGCACATTCCATCAGCAAAATTGCTTTGATCAACTAAACGAGTAATCTTATCAAAATATACATCAAATTAGTTTACATCTACTTTCCATATACTTCTATTGATTGGCATTAATTACTGTGCTTTAATTCTTTATTAATTGATTCCCATATTACCTGTTCCATTATTTTGCCCAGTATCCATGTCAGGCTGACAGCCCTTTAATTACTTGGGTCAACCTGTATATTCTTTTAAAATATTGACATGGCATTAGCTTTCCTGCCATCTTTTGGCACTTCACCAATATTCCGAGACTTATTAAAAATCAACGTTAATGATTCAGAGTGCTCAGCCAGCTCTTTGAAAACTCTTGTGTGAGTGCTATCCAGTCTTGCTGACTTGTCTAACTTCATGTATAACATGAGTGTTGAGTGGGTGTCTATAAGGCTATGTCTACACTACAAAGAAAAGTCGGAAAAAGATACACAACTTGCAAACTGCAATTGCGTATCTTTTTCCGCTTTTCTTTTTAAAGAGGCTTTTCCAAAATTTGGCGCATCTACCTGGCGCCAAATTTTGGAAAAACCTCCTCTTTTGATACATCCCTTCTTCCTTGTACAACAAGGTTTACAGGGATGGTGAAAGAGAGCGTCTGCTTTCCCTAATTTTTTTGTTCAGAAAAGTGGATGCGTTCTTTGGACATGGCATAGCTTTTCTGGGATACCTCCAGGATATACGTAACCTACAATAATAACAATGTTCATATAGCTGAAATTATGAAAATGTTGAGAACACCTGGTATTGACTTTCAAGGTGGTTAGAGTAATCTAGCAATGTTTTTTCACAGAGATGCATGTAACAAGACCAAAATATTTATCATGAGGGAATGACATTACATAGGTATTGAGTGGTATAACAGAGCAGAGCCTAAAGGAGGCTAAAATTGATGATGGTTTGTCTTTTGATGTGGTTTGTTAAATAGATTGCATGGTCAAAGACTATTGTAATGTTAGGCTGAAAGAGGGACAAAAAATGATAAGATAGAAGCTGAGAGAAGAAACTGAAACCAAATTATCTCAGTATCCTTAGATGTGAACTATTCATTGGGATAAGAACTACAGGGAGCTACACAAAAGGTTTTTCTTTTTCGTCTTGCAAAGTTATTTTTTTGAGATAGTGCAAAAGTAACCAATTTTTGGTGTGTTTGTTTTTGTTTTAAATTCTGTAGTTCATGGGAAGCCTCTTGCAAGCAAATAAATATTTAGGAAAATATTTGAGAGGCTGAAATTGAAATTCATCTCTGGTTAAGTCTCAGAAGGTGAAAGGGCAACAGAGATCAATGTTGTTAAATAGGGGGATACTTGATATTAAGAAGAGAACTTTTAGAAAGTATAAACATGAATATTCTGTTAGAGGATTGGAAGTCAGTACTGAAAACAAAACAAAAAATAGAATTGCAAGCAAAGAAAAATAGTAAATGTCTAAGCTATGCAAATAATGTTTCAGCTCATGATAAAGAAGTTTGCAAATATGTATTTTCAGTAGAAAGCAAAAAATTCAGTCATGGATCCATGGTTTGAAAAACAATTAGTTTCACTTTAACATAGAATGTTCTTCAAGATCCCCCAATGCATTTTTTAAATAATTTCTGCAGGTAGTTTGTAAAATACCACAGCACAGGGTCTATAAGTTGATCTGTAGCTTATACAATGTCAGGCAAACTGTTAGTTCTTCACAATTAATAAATATGAATATATTTTTAAAATGTACCTTATGCTATAATGGCCTCGATTAGAGCAGGATTTTGACATCAAAACTTTTGGGAACTATTGCACTTCTGCCATGTAAAAAGCCCACATTTTCACAAGTGGCTTGTGACCTTGGGCAGTATAGTGGCTGGTGTGCTATAAGAACCTGAACAGAGAGAATTTTAGACATCTGTTAGTAGTACCTGTTATTTCTTTTTGAGGAGCTGATCGCCCACCACTGCCATTGAATTTTCTGTGTTTATCATCTCTGAAATTAAAGTTGTATGTTGCTAAAGTTTGTGACCTAAAATTAGATGCCACTCTTAAAAATTTGGGCTTTTCAGTTTCCTCAGTGCCAGATCACTACCCTGAGCTGGGCATGCAAATCCATTATCATCCATCCCTCTTTAATGGTATTCGTATATCGTAGAAAGGGCTGAACTTCAGGTCCCAAACTTTTCTTATACTGTGTAGGTAGATTAACTCATGAAACAATAGTGATATTTTAGTATTCATCTCTAGAATCGAGAAGTAAGTTAATCACAACATCTCTCTAGCAAAGGGCTACTCAACTTTGGAAGTCCTGGGGGCCACAATGATGCTCACAGCACATGCTGAGGGTCACAACTGTGGTTGCAAGTGCATGCAAATATATATGCAAATATATATGGAAATAGCTTCTTTCACACTGAATGGGCATGAATACAAAGATTAAGGCAAGACTACACAACATGCAGGCCTCATTTAAATCAGTTTTGCTGATATTAATTAAATGCAATATTTACCTGATTTCCACCCATATGATAGCCCGTTTAATGAGCAATGGCAGTCCAGGAATTGAACTACTAAAACGTGTGTCAACAGAAGACCATTATATTGACTCCCCATTATGGAGCATCTTCCCAGTGGAGGCCATGTTCAAAGGATCCCACCCACAGGCCTAAACCCAAACTGCACCATGGGCCGCAAACAAACAGGCCACGGGCCGCATATGGCCCATGGCCACGTGTTGAGTAGCCCTGCTCTAGCATAAAATCATGTTGTTTTATACCTCTTCCGTTCATGTATTTTTGGACATTACCAATGGACCCATATGGGAAACTAGCGATGACACTGCAAAGAAACTAAAAAGTGGAATAATGTTTGTTGGTGAAGAAGATGATCTCTAGCATATTCAGTTGCTGAATATTTTGCCTTAGGATAGCATTAACTGATGGTAGGCTGATTTTTTTTTCTTGGATGTGGTATGTTCTTTGGCATGATCACAGAATACTTTTCCAGGAAAATTGATTCTGTGTTGGTAACATAATTATGTGAGATGCTTCAACATCTCCTGTCAATGTTTTTAGTGTTCTACTATACAATCTAATTCAAGATATTTTGTCATCTTGGACCAAATGAGCAGTATGATTTAGTGTATCTTTAGGCATCAGGGAAGTTTTTTGAACAGATCTCCATAGTAGCACTTACATGAAGAAGTTGGATAGGTAAATGTCATGCATAAGCTGTTGATTTGTATGTGCAAACTATGCAGTTAGGGTAAGTCTACACTACGAGATAAGGTTAAACTATGATACACAATTTCAGCTATGTTAATTGTGCAGCTGGAGTTGAAGTACCTTAATTTGAATTTTGGCACTGTCCACACTGTAGGAAGTCAAGGGCAGCACATTCTCCCTTCAACTTCATTTGCTTCTTGTAGTAACAGGGCTACTTGCATCGACCGGAGCGCCCCTCTCACTTCGCATTAGCTGTCTTCACTAGATCCACTCATTTGAACCCTGGAAAATTGATAGCGGCAGCTTCGATCTTCTCTGTAATGTAGACATTCCCTTAAAGTTTGAGACTAGTTCTGAAAATTTGTGCCTATCTATATCTGGGTAGCCTGGCTTTCAGCTGGTATAAACCTGGATGAATCATTCAGAAATAGAAGTAGAACACACTGTTTAATCATTGCCAATCTAGAAAAATAAAACTAAGCTCTAAGTTCACTGTTAACATCTTTAATTTTCCCCCAAATATACCAAGATATTTTTATTGTTAGTAAGATTGGACAGAATTTTCTCTTGTGTATTTTCAATGTGTTCAGTTCTGATTTTCCTTCTTCAAAATGTAAAACTAATAGACAAACAGTGGTTTAATGTATTGTAGAGAGGTCACTTTAAGATTCAGCTGTGAGATACTTTAGTCAGACATGCACCTATTAGTTCAGTTTAAAACTGTAGAAAAGACTGATTTTTGGAAAAGAAGATTAAAATATTTAATGGCTGCAGGAACAACTTCCTAACAAATTGATGTCTTATGGGAAAAAGTTGGTGGGGCTCACTCAGTAGAAATGCAGTCAAATGTACTTACTGTTACAGTATTTATATAAAATATGTCCTGTGATGGAAAACAGAACTGGATGTTTTGATCACAACTCATAGAAATGATCACATGCCATCACTTGTCATTTATTTGCTTAGGTAGCACTGAAAACCTCTTGTTCTACCCCCCAACTGAGAGGAAGTTTCTTAGTGCTGGGCTTATCCTCTATGAATAAACATACTCAGTCTTGTAAAAAAAGTTGACAATATGTAGCCCCTAGTTTCTAGTGTTTATATTACAAAGTCATGACTTACCATCACTTTTGAAAAGTTAGCCACAAGTTTTGATGTGGTTTTTGTATGTTTCCTTTGAAATGGATTCCCTTGCCATTCCTACGGTTGAGTCATCCTGTCATTTCATGTATTTGCTTAAGGTTCATGAATTCGTCCTTTGTGTCTATCCCTTTCAAGATGATCTCAGCTCCCTGATTTCTTGGTTGTCTTAAATATGGGAAAAAAATAAATAAAT